TTTTAAAGGGTTAATATATCAGTGGAACAGCTCAGATAGGGTAGCTAGAGAGACAAGACTAAAATGGTTTCAACATGTGCAGAGGACAGATAGTGGATATACTGGACAAAATATGCTGAAAAATAAGTTGCCAAAGGGGAGGAAAACTGTTTTATGAACAAAATGGACAACATATTTTGTATGGTGGTATACTGAAAGGACTTTATTGTATGTAAACACTTCCAAAAATAAGTAATCTCTGATACCCAACACGCAACTAATTAACAAAACTACGCATTTTTTTTCTTTTTAGATCTACTATTCTTAAGTATTTTAATTCTACAGTTCTGGGGGCTGCTTATCTTAATGCCCCTGAGAGACACCAAAAGCCAGATTACCATCCTCTGAAAAAATGAATTTTCCGTTGCTTATGAAGTTTCTCAATATATTGATATTCCACCCTTCCAGGATGTTGTCCAGTTTTCAGACGTGTGTTTTTGATTTGCTCATAGTAATGATTCCAGTTTCCATTCTTGTCTGCTCCAAATCCAAACACATTAATCTGAAGACACAAAAATGTGGATTATTAATCACAAATGAAATTAACATAAAATAATTCTAGATTATAGACACTACAGATTTCATTAACATGCTTTAGCTCAGGGGTGTTGAACTCCAGGCCTCGAGAGCCGGTGTTCTGCAGGTTTTAGATATCACCCTGGGTCAACACACCCTAATCAAATGATTAATTCATTAACAGGCTTCTGGAGAACCCCAAGACATGTTATGGAGGTAATTTAGCCATTTAAATCAGCTGTGTTGGATTAAGGACACATCCAAAACCTGTAGGACACCGGCCCTTGAGGCCTTGAGTTCGACACCTGTGCTTTAGCTTAATGCAGTGCAGGCGATTTGCCATTCCATTTTTCTTTTTTTTCCTTTTTTAAGTATATTTTATTAAAACCAAAAATAAAAATACAGTTTGTGTAAGTTAGGATTGTCAGTACTTGTCATATATTCTACTACTAGCACCCTCACCATCCCCTGGAATTTTCTCATACCAAGAGCCTTATCAAGGCAATAGGAAAGGCCAAGAAACGAACACTTCAACATGCTAATACGGTAACAGTATAAAACTATAATAAATACACACAATTAATAATAAACAGATAAACTGAAGAAAGAGAAATAGGAAAGAAATCAAGGTTAATAGTTACCTGTTCCTGACTGATTAACTGATTGATGCATCAGTGTAAAGAGTGACTTTATCCCCCCCACTAATGTGTTCTGCATTGCTCTTAAAAAAGGTATTATTAGGGGACCAAGGACAGGGAGGCAAGTCCCTTGGTCCCCTAATTTCCTTGAAGGAAAGGACTCTAAAAGTAAAAGCCTCAAAAACTTATGTCTTTATGTATCCTCAATCATCTGTGTATGGAAATCTTGGTAAGTTAATTCTATTCATCTGGACATAGCATTTTCATTGGTAAAAATGTCCTACAGGTTTCCCAAGCCTTAACAGTACATTTGCATAATGACTGAAGATAGCATCACTCCCTAACAATCGGCTTTGAGGTCAGTTTTATGATCATTAATACACACATTTATATGCTCATAGATCAATTCTCCATGAGTACCATTCACAGACAGTTGGGGAACGGCTGCAATGTAAAATTTGGTTCTCATTTTAATGCTCCAACCTCCACACCTTTTTAATTCATTCACTTCTCATTAGTACATGGGTCATCCAGCCTAGGGCCAACTGCCAGTTCCCGATGAGGCTTTCGAAATACAATCACAGATTGTCTATCTGTGATTGTCAAATCTAAATAAGGGATATTGTCCCAGCTAGTTTAATGGTATTTAGGTAATTCTGCTCTAGAAATAACCAGATGGTAAAGATCCCTTGTGGTAATGCTTAAGCTGAAAATGATATCTATGCTCTCATGTACAACCAATGGGCCAATAATGAATGGTGTAGAAATGAATTATCATATCCGTTTCTTGAACCTACCTCATCACACAAGTACAAGCTGAGAACCAAAGTCAGAAAGCCAGTGGATGGATACCTCCCATGCTGTTTTAGCCAAACATAATGGACATATTTCATGAAAGCAGGGCTGAGGATCATCACCTATTAAAGATTACAATTAGACTTCAATGGCAGTTTAGTAAATAATAGAATTACCTTTCTTATGACATATCATATTCTGGATGTTTGAAGAATAAGTCATTCTACTCACCAAATCCGTGTTAGTTTTCAAACCTGATTTAGCAGTTTCTTTTTGCCTGTTGGATATAACAATAACATGAAATAAGTCCAAGCTCAAAAATGCAATTGCATTTTAAAATATGGTGCAGTTTATCTTTGTGTTTTTGTAATGGTTTGTTTGTTTGTTTGTTTGTTTTTTAATTCTACACTGCCAGGGAGGCACTGAGACCATGACACAACTGTGTGTGTATATATTACTCTCTGTCATGCCACATGTTTTTGTCATGGTCTGTGGCCCTATGTCTGAGGAGTGTGTGGGCTGCCCTGGTGGCCACACCCCCGGGCTGGACCATCACCTGCACACCTGTTTTCCATTCTGGACAATTACCTGGAGGACTATTTAACCCACGCTGAGAGATGCTCCACGCCAGTCCGTTAATCACCCCTCAGGGGTAACTAGGCTTCCCGCAAAAGCTTTGTACATATGTGTCATTTGAACCGCGTTAATTCTGCCTTCACGTGCCTAGGGTACGATCCGGTGTTTGTGTCTGCTACCTGCCTGTCCTCCTGCTTGCGAGCAGTGGATCATCTGTCCTCATCCCTGCCTCCTCGGATTCGCCTCGCACGGACACACTCCCCCCTTCTGAGTCCCACTGTCCCGCTCTGATCGTAAGCCAATTACTAAAGCCTGTCTTGTTGTGTCTCCCTATTTCCCAGCTCACTAGTAATTTTCTCCCCTTTCTGTTGCAGCCTCCCATGGTCCTAATTATGGTTTCCCTGTGTCGTTTATCTTCCCGTTTTTTCTTCAGTTCCTCGTTTTGTTTCTTTGGTTGTTCCAGGTCACCTTTTGTTAAAGCAATAAACTTTTTCCTTGCTCGCATTTGATTTATTGAGTCTGCTTTTGGATCCCGTTTGTGTGCACACACTGTGGTGCATGACAGTTTTATTGTTGTTGTGTGCTCTCTTTCTCCCCCTCTCCTCTGTCTGGGTGGAGCTCATCTTAGGCTCCCGCCTCTGACCCATGCACCTGCCCTGATTACCAAACCTCCCGCTGATCTACCTGATTTTGTGAACACTACTTAAGATGGCAGTTCAATACTTCTCATCGGGCTTAAGCCTAACTAACCCTGAGATATGTTTTTGTGAATCTCTATCCAAATTTAAGACTGTTTGGTAAAGGCATCAGTGCAGTGCTGAAACATTTCTGACAAAGATATAAAAAAAAATAGGAATTCAGGATGGATACACTTTTTCATACAACTGTGTAGGGTTAAAAATATAACTTACATACCCCCATTAGTATTATATTATAGCCAGTTTTTTGCTTGATTACATGCTTTTGGAAGCCGTAAACAAGCTCCTGATATAAATCTGATGAGATATTTGACCACTCTTCTTGGTGGTAGTATAGGTAATTTTAATTAGCTGGCTTCCTGGCACAGAACTGTCAACAGATTTTCAATCTGTTGGGGCTGTGGGAAGGAACTTTATTTGTCTCAATATGTCACAAGTTTGCTAAGATCTGAATGATGTCAGAGGATATTGGTTAGGATGTTCAGTTAAAAAAAAAAACCCACAACCACCAAGGTTCAAGCCTGTCATGAATTGGAAACTGCTGGGACATTTTTGAGATACAATAAAAGATACAGTAAAAAAAATAAGTTTTTGTACAAAGTATCGGTATCGGAACAGTATCGTCGATACCACCTTGAATTTTACTTTGTATCGGATCGGACAGGAAATCAGTGGTATCGCACACCACTAGCCCACATCTTGTTTTTACCCATTCTGCTGCCTTCTCAGGCTTGCCTTAATCTCTGCAGGTATTTGGCCCTCGGATGAGGCGGATGCATCTTTTGCCCTAATTAGCTTCAGTAACCACTAGGCATGATTCATGTCAGGGCTTGGTGCTGTCCAACTCTTTATACTTGAGACCCTTTCTTGGTCCACAAGAAAGTCTGCCACTGTGATGCATACTGGATCCTGTCAGGGAGGTTTCTGCAGTCTGCTCTTAAATGGTAAAGGCACTGATTCTTATATAGCGCTTTCTACTCTCCCCGAGTACTCAAAGCGCTGTATACAACATGCATCATTCTCCCATTCACACCCACTCATACAATCACTTCCTTCTATACTTAAGTGCAATCTAAGCATTCACACACATTCAGACTCCAATGGACATAGTACGGAGAGCAACTTGGGTTAGTATCTTGCCCAAGGAAAGTACTTGGCAATCTGCAGACTGGGGAAGCCAAGGATCGAACCACCAACCTTCCAGTCAGTAGCTGATCTGCTCTACCACCTGAGACACAGCCACCCTAAATCCACGAGCCATTGAGCATTGCCATTATGGGTTGATATTTCTCCCATATGCTCTTCCAGTACTGCTCCATCTCCAGCCTTGGTGAGGATGTTTTCTTATCACTCTCTCACCAGTGAGCGTATATGTTTGGTTCTGTGGAGTACAGATGGCTGATTCTCCTGCTTTCTATATGTCTGGTATACCTTTTTGGCTGGCCGAGGCTGTGAGTCTTTACCTGGCATTTTCCAAGGCCTCAGTTATGGGCAGCTTGCTAACTTCGTAGACATCCCTTTCTACAACATCCCTTTCTGCAGCTTCGATAGATGGCTTTCCTCTGTGCTACCTTGATCTTGGCCTCTAGTGTCTTTCTCCATGGAGGGCATTGCTCCTTTGGCTGTTTATTATGTAGCAGCGCATTCTCCGTGTTTGCTGTTGCTGTGGTACAGATCCGTGAGTTGGTTTCGGTTATGGTTGCAGTCATTCTCATAGACCCTCAGAGGGTACTTCACGTAACCTTGGTAACCGGCTACATAGGGTCCAGGTTTCTATCTTCACAATGATCCCATCTATCAGGTCAGCTGCTCTCGGACTCAACACCTTCACTGCAACAGCTGTACTTGGGCAAGATACTCAACCCCGTCTTTCTGCATAATAGCAGTGTTGGAACACACTGTGGTACTATACTCTTGTGAGCATCAGTTGAACAGTATTGTATTGCAGAAAGTAGTGTGTTCATACAAAAATGGTAAGAAAAAGGAAATTAACAATGGAAGAAAGACATACCATCATTACACTTAAAAATGTAGGTCTTTCCTACAGAGAAATTGCAAAGAAAGTCACGGTGTAAGTGAGTACAGTTTGCGTCACCATTAACAAACTGGGGCAAACTGTGAACGGAAGAAGTCTGGTAGGCCAAAAGCAACAACTTAATCAGAGGACAGGTTTCTGAGAGTTAACAGCTTGCATGACAGGTAGTTCACAGGACAACAGCTTCAAGCACAGTTTAATAGTGTTCATAGTAAGCAAGTCTCAGTTTCAACTGTAAAGAGAAGACTTCAAGCTGCAGGTTTGACAGAACGAGTTGCAGCAAGAAAGCCATTGCCAAGTGGCAATGGCTTTCAGAACAATACAAAGAGTGCTTGCCTGGGCCATGAAACACCGCCACTGGACTACTGAAGACTAGAAGAAGGAATTATGGACTAATTAATCAAAAATAAATCAAAATATGCATGAGCTAGTGTTTATGCATATTTGTAAGTGAAACTTATAAATATTTACTAACCAAACGTAGTTCGTTATACCTCAGGCAGCAGAAACCCAAGAAAGAAGAGGAGCAGGAGGAGGAAATATCATGGGACAACAGGTCTCCGGTATAGTATGTACCACAGTCAGGTAAAAGAAGTGGCTGATATTCAGAATTCCTACCAGGGGCTGAACAAATGTGGATGAATGGCACAACAATGGGTCTCAGGATCTCGTCGAGGTATCTCTGTGCATTCAAAATGCCAGCAAAAAAAATGCACCTGTGTTGGTTGTCCATAACATACGCCTGCCCATACCAGAACCCTACCGTCACCATGGGACACTCGATCCACAATGTTGACGTCAGCAAACCACTCACCCACATGTCACCACACACGCTGTCTGCCATCTGCCCTGAACAGTGAAAACTGGGACTCATCTGTGAACAGAACATCTCTCCAACGTGCCAGACACCATCAAATGTGAGCAGTTGCTTACGCAAGTTGGTTACAATGTCGAACTGCAGTCAGGTCCACACCCTGATGAGGACGACAAGCATGCAGATAAGCTTCCCTGAGATGGTTTTGACAGTTTGTGCAGAAAATCTTCGGTCATGCAAACTGATTGTTGCTGCAGCTGTGCGGGTAGCTGGTCTCAATGGATCCTGTGGGCTGGTGTGGTTACACGTGGTCTGCTGTTGTGAGGCTGGTTGAATGTACTAGAGTTGGATATCTTGAGACCAGTCTCGAGACCAAGACCGGTCTCGAGACCACTTTTACGTGGTCTTGGTCTTGTCTTGGTCTCAACGGACTTTGGTCTTGGTCTTGTCTTGGTCTCTGACCCCTCGGTCTCTTCTTGGTCTCGCTGTCTTGGTCTTGCTGTCTCAGATCGACATAATGGTCGGGAGATTTGGAGTCAACCATCGGCAGAGCGGGGGAGTGGCTTAATTGGGCTTAAGCCCGGGTTATTTTTTCAGAAGCCCGGGGTCTTTTGGAGTGTAATTTGTTTCATAGTTAGAGCCCTGACTGACAACTGTATAAAACAAAAACTACACACAATATTTGAAGCACATAGGGTGAATTTACAACTGTGCGCTAATTTTGGTATCATATGAGCTCAGATGCTCAGTCGTACTAGGCGACTGAGCATAGCACTTACGCATGTGAGCGAGAGGGGAGAAGCTGCTGCCCGGAGTTTGCTGTAGGAGAAGCGCAAACAGGCAGACAGAGGAGAGCTTAAGTTTGACCAGGTACCAAAGAAAATCATTCATACTGTACAAATAATGTAAATATGTGTATCACAAAAGATTGATATCAAACTGATCACTTGGCCCATATTACGTTACTTGCTCTTCGAGTGAATCAACAAATGGCGAAATGAAAAGCCGAACAACAATGCTGTTTTTTTTTAGAGAATCTTTGCTTACATGTGTGTTTATTTCACATTTTCAAGTGTTACCCTCCACTCAAAATTGATTTCAGTTATGTACTGATGAACACAACAATGGTAAATGGCCTGTATTTGTATAGCGCTTTTACTAGTCCCGCCTACTAGTCCCCAAAGCGCTTTA